CCAAGTATCATGTGGATTCACACACGGGAGCAATAGAAATACTGTGTGTAAGCTTGTTTCCTATGAAACATGTTTTGGTTAGGTTGTTGTTTAACGCCGCACTCAGCTATATTACAGCTATATGACGGCAGTTTGTAAAAAATCGAGTCTGGACCAGATAATCCAGTGATTGACATAATGAGCATCGATCTACATAATTGTGATACGATGACATGCACCAACAAAGTCAGCGAGCCTGACCACCCGATCCCATTAGTCCCATTTTATGACAAGCAAAGTCGCCTTCTACGCCAAGCATGGGTTGCTGAAGACCTATTCTACCCCGGTTCTTCACGGGTCTATGAAACATGTAACACTAAAATATGTTAAATTTTAGTAAATGTATTAATGAATAAAACGTGGTCCTTCAAAGTTACTTGGGGTGTCTCCGATAGAAATGATTGACAGTTGTTTGACAGATGTGGCTAACAGGGATGGCAAAGTATCTTTTCCTCGCTCACATGCTAATTGGAAACTGGTGCTTTCAGAAGACTATTTCTAATGGCTTGCCATGTAGCGGCACTGTTAATCAGATATTCTATATATGACTCGGTGTTATAACTGATTAAAGCTCAGTCAATGCCAATCTACTTATTCCAAGTTGACGAGTTCCTGTTTGAACCCCTTAATGCCGAGCGACAGACAGGATAACAACAAGTACCATCTTTTAATGTCTTTTGATATGACGCAGCCGGGGTTCGAACCACGATGGACTCCGCATGTCAGTACTATTATGTGAAATTGCACACACAAAGTTTCTCGCTGCGATAGACTGCGATATAGATGATGCAGCTTAAACCAGTATTTGGACATCCACTCCACAGACAGAGCATACTCAAGGTTACTCTAATATGTGATATTCCACAGACAGAACGTATAACTGTCACAGCAGTCAGTATGAATGCACGATGTTCCACAGACAGAACGTATAACTGTCACAGCAGTCAGTATGAATGCGCGATGTTCCACAGACAGAACGTATAACTGTCACAGCAGTCAGTATGAATGCGCGATGTTCCACAGACAGAACGTATAACTGTCACAGCAGTCAGTATGAATGCGCGATGTTCCACAGACAGAACGTATAACTGTCACAGCAGTCAGTATGAATGCGTGATGTTCCACAGACAGAACGTATAACTGTCACAGCAGTCAGTATGAATGCGCGATGTTCCACAGACAGAACGTATAACTGCTACAGCAGTCAGTATGAATGCGCGATGTTCCACAGACAGAACGTATAACTGTCACAGCAGTCAGTATGAATGCGCGATGTTCCACAGGCAGAACGTATAACTGTCACAGCAGTCAGTATGAATGCGCGATGTTCCACAGACAGAACGTATAACTGTCACAGCAGTCAGTATGAATGCGCGATGTTCCACAGACAGAACGTATAACTGTCACAGCAGTCAGTATGAATGCGCGATGTTCCACAGACAGAACGTATAACTGTCACAGCAGTCAGTATGAATGCGCGATGTTCCACAGACAGAACGTATAACTGTCACAGCAGTCAGTATGAATGCGCGATGTTCCACAGACAGAACGTATAACTGTCACAGCAGTCAGTATGAATGCGCGATGTTCCACAGACAGAACGTATAACTGTCACAGCAGTCAGTATGAATGCGCGATGTTCCACAGACAGAACGTATAACTGTCACAGCAGTCAGTATGAATGCGTGATGTTCCACAGACAGAACGTATAACTGTCACAGCAGTCAGTATGAATGCGCGATGTTCCACAGACAGAACGTATAACTGCTACAGCAGTCAGTATGAATGCGCGATGTTCCACAGACAGAACGTATAACTGTCACAGCAGTCAGTATGAATGCGCGATGTTCCACAGGCAGAACGTATAACTGTCACAGCAGTCAGTATGAATGCGCGATGTTCCACAGACAGAACGTATAACTGTCACAGCAGTCAGTATGAATGCGCGATGTTCCACAGACAGAACGTATAACTGTCACAGCAGTCAGTATGAATGCGCGATGTTCCACAGACAGAACGTATAACTGTCACAGCAGTCAGTATGAATGCGCGATGTTCCAGAGACAGAACGTATAACTGTCACAGCAGTCAGTATGAATGCACGATGTTCCACAGACAGAACGTATAACTGTCACAGCAGTCAGTATGAATGCACGATGTTCCACAGACAGAACGTATAACTGTCACAGCAGTCAGTATGAATGCGCGATGTTCCACAGGCAGAACGTATAACTGTCACAGCAGTCAGTATGAATGCGCGATGTTCCACAGGCAGAACGTATAACTGTCACAGCAGTCAGTATGAATGCGCGATGTTCCACAGGCAGAACGTATAACTGTCACAGCAGTCAGTATGAATGCACGATGTTCCACAGGCAGAACGTATAACTGTCACAGCAGTCAGTATGAATGCGCGATGTTCCACAGGCAGAACGTATAACTGTCACAGCAGTCAGTATGAATGCGCGATGTTCCACAGACAGAACGTATAACTGTCACAGCAGTCAGTATGAATGCGCGATGTTCCACAGACAGAACGTATAACTGTCACAGCAGTCAGTATGAATGCGCGATGTTCCACAGACAGAACGTATAACTGTCACAGCAGTCAGTATGAATGCACGATGTTCCCCAGACAGAACGTATAACTGTCACAGCAGTCAGTATGAATGCGCGATGTTCCACAGGCAGAACGTATAACTGTCACAGCAGTCAGTATGAATGCGCGATGTTCCCCAGACAGAACGTATAACTGTCACAGCAGTCAGTATGAATGCGCGATGTTGCACAGACAGAACGTATAACTGTCACAGCAGTCAGTATGAATGCGCGATGTTCCACAGACAGAACGTATAACTGTCACAGCAGTCAGTATGAATGCGCGATGTTCCACAGACAGCACGTATAACTGTCACAGCAGTCAGTATGAATGCGCGATGTTCCACAGACAGAACGTATAACTGTCACAGCAGTCAGTATGAATGCGCGATGTTCCACAGACAGAACGTATAACTGTCACAGCAGTCAGTATGAATGCACGATGTTCCACAGACAGAACGTATAACTGCTACAGCAGTCAGTATGAATGCGCGATGTTCCACAGACAGAACGTATAACTGTCACAGCAGTCAGTATGAATGCGCGATGTTCCACAGACAGCACGTATAACTGTCACAGCAGTCAGTATGAATGCGCGATGTTCCACAGACAGAACGTATAACTGTCACAGCAGTCAGTATGAATGCGCGATGTTCCACAGACAGAACGTATAACTGTCACAGCAGTCAGTATGAATGCACGATGTTCCACAGACAGCACGTACAACTGTCACAGCAGTCAGTATGAATGCACGATGTTCCACAGACAGAACGTATAACTGTCACAGCAGTCAGTATGAATGCGCGATGTTCCACAGACAGAACGTATAACTGTCACAGCAGTCAGTATGAATGCACGATGTTCCACAGACAGAACGTATAACTGTCACAGCAGTCAGTATGAATGCGCGATGTTCCACAGGCAGAACGTATAACTGTCACAGCAGTCAGTATGAATGCGCGATGTTCCACAGACAAAACGTATAACTGTCACAGCAGTCAGTATGAATGCACGATGTTCCACAGACAGAACGTATAACTGTCACAGCAGTCAGTATGAATGCGCGATGTTCCACAGACAGAACGTATAACTGTCACAGCAGTCAGTATGAATGCGCGATGTTCCACAGACAGAACGTATAACTGTCACAGCAGTCAGTATGAATGCACGATGTTCCACAGACAGAACGTATAACTGTCACAGCAGTCAGTATGAATGCGCGATGTTCCACAGACAGAACGTATAACTGTCACAGCAGTCAGTATGAATGCGCGATGTTCCACAGACAGAACGTATAACTGCTACAGCAGTCAGTATGAATGCGCGATGTTCCACAGACAGAACGTATAACTGTCACAGCAGTCAGTATGAATGCGCGATGTTCCACAGACAGAACGTATAACTGTCACAGCAGTCAGTATGAATGCGCGATGTTCCACAGACAGAACGTATAACTGTCACAGCAGTCAGTATGAATGCGCGATGTTCCACAGACAGTGCGTATAACTGTCACAGCAGTCGGTATGAATGCGCGATGTTCCACAGACAGAACGTATAACTGTCACAGCAGTCAGTATGAATGCGCGATGTTCCAGAGTATCACGTGTCTACACTACAGCACATGCACATGGAATGATCAATATGATAATGAGAAGATACAGTTGCCATGAACAATATGATACTGGGGTGATACACAGGACATGATCAATATGACACTGAGGTGATACACATGGCATGATCAATATGATACTGAGGTGATACACAGGACATGATCAATATGACACTGAGGTGATACACATGGCATGATCAATATGATACTGAGGTGATACAGTTGTCATGATCAATATGGTACTGAGATGATACACATGGCGTGATCGTTATGATACTGAGGTGATACAGTTGTCATGATCACATAATAATGAACAAATACATGTTCAATATTGAATACAATTTTAGTTGTTTTGAAATTTTCTTTGGGTATTTGATACAAAACAGGTCTTTTACATTGTAAAAACAGTCATTTTATGTTGTGTCGAAAAAGCATATTCCGTTTTATACATGGGTATTTCCCATACCATGAACGAAAATAAGGGGAGATATGTTTGACTCAAAATACCAGTGTCGTCTTTCTCCGACGATGTCACAGACATGAACCAGCACTGAAATCAAATAGAATGGTGTCATGTTTTTAGTGACTCGTTACATTTGTTGATAAGGCTAGAGCTCCATTGATGATAGTGCAACATCATGTATAAACCGATGTATAGGTGCAAGACATTACTGACAGATGACAAGATACACTTAGATTACGTTATTTATCATGTCTGATAACGGCCTATCTGGAAGAAGAAAAAACAAAGTCACCTGACCCGATAGGGAAGTTTAAAGTTTGAAAGAGAGGGGCGTAACACGATTTCAACTTGATGTTGAGACGGTTGTGTGTTTGGCAGTACGGACACTAGCAGTTTTTTTGTGAGTACTGAAATTATGAAATACTTTAAATTAACGCATCTTCCCTTTATGAGTTACATAACTAGATAATTAGATAAGAAAAAGTGACTCGTTACACTTGCTTCATTGAACGCTTTAAAAATATATATATAAGCCCTTTTCAATATTCATAAGAAATCTCTATAAAAAGCAGAGTCCATTGTACGATTTAGACTAACCATTTAGACATGAGCATATATCACAATGAAATATTTCCGCTTACATAATTTGATTTTACATTTCACTGCAACCATTTATATGTTTGGAGAATTAACTACTTCATAGAAATCCTGATATTGAATCACAGATAAATACATCCTGCAGAAGGTATACATACATATTTCGGAGATACAATCAATCTGGAGAGACCTATAATGAACTAACGAATTGTCATGACTGCACAATTAAAGTGTCCCCAGTCACATATTGCTGCTTTTCAACTCCAGTCTAATCTCGTTTTGTGGAACTCGGATGTGTCGAGTTGCATATTGTCTCGAACTCACCTTCCGGTCCCTGCGTCTATTTATTACAATTAATACTCGGATCTGTCAACTCGATGTGTCGAATTCCATATTGTCTCGAACTCACCTTCCAGTCCCTGAGTCTGTTTATGACAATTTATACTCGGATCTGTCAACTCGATGTGTCGAATTCCATATTGTCTCGAACTCACCTTCCGGTCCCTGCGTCTATTTATTACAATTTATACTCGGATCTGTCAAATCGATGTGTCGAATTCCATATTGTCTCGAACTCACCTTCCGGTCCCTGCGTCTATTTATGACAATTAATACTCGGATCTGTCAACTCGATGTGTCGAATTCCATATTGTCTCGAACTCACCTTCCGGTCCCTGCGTCTATTTATGACAATTAATACTCGGATCTGTCAACTCGATGTGTCGAATTCCATATTGTCTCGAACTCACCTTCCGGTCCCTGCGTCTATTTATGACAATTTATACTCGGATCTGTCAACTCGATGTGTCGAATTCCATATTGTCTCGAACTCACCTTCCGGTCCCTGCGTCTATTTATAACAATTTATACTCGGATCTGTCAACTCGATGTGTCGAATTCCATATTTTCTCGAACTCAACTTCCGGTCCCTGCGTCTATTTATTACAATTAATACTCGGATCTGTCAACTCGATGTGTCGAACTCCATATTGTCTCGAACTCACCTTCCGGTCCCTGCGTCTATTTATTACAATTTATACTCGGATCTGTCAACTCGATGTGTCGAACTCCATATTGTCTCGAACTCACCTTCCGGTCCCTGCGTCTATTTATTACAATTTATACTCGGATCTGTCAACTCGATGTGTCGAATTCCATATTGTCTCGAACTCACCTTCCGGTCCCTGCGTCTATTTATTACAATTTATACTCGGATCTGTCAACTCGATGTGTCGAACTCCATATTGTCTCGAACTCACCTTCCGGTCCCTGCGTCTATTTATTACAATTTATACTCGGATCTGTCAACTCGATGTGTCGAATTCCATATTGTCTCGAACTCACCTTCCGGTCCCTGCGTCTATTTATGACAATTTATACTCGGATCTGTCAACTCGATGTGTCGAACTCCATATTGTCTCGAACTCACCTTCCGGTCCCTGCGTCTATTTATTACAATTTATACTCGGATCTGTCAACTTGATGTGTCGAATTCCATATTGTCTCGAACTCACCTTCCGGTCCCTGCGTCTATTTATTACAATTAATACTCGGATCTGTCAACTCGATGTGTCGAACTCCATATTGTCTCGAACTCACCTTCCGGTCCCTGCGTCTATTTATTACAATTAATACTCGGATCTGTCAACTCGAGGTGTCGAATTCCATATTGTCTCGAACTCACCTTCCGGTCCCTGCGTCTATTTCTGACAATTTATACTCGGATCTGTCAACTCGATGTGTCGAATTCCATATTGTCTCGAACTCGTTTGGGAATCCCAATGATCCAATTAAGCATAAAGGTCTCCTGGTCACTCGAACAGTTAAAAAATATTTAAAAAATGCGTCCACACACCAACGCATGCCAAACTTTAAACTTGCTTCGTACACAACCGACTGACCTCCGTTTGTTTTAATAACATCAAAGGGAGGATGCTTTCTAAACATATGCTATCTAATCGAGGCTAATCAACAAGCAGACGTGACATCGAAGGAGCCAGCTGATTACTGTATGCAGCAAGTTATTGTTCTCATGTGACTGCCCTTGACACATGGAAATTTAGAAATTAGTAGTGAGTGAGTACGGTTTTACGCCGCTTTTAGCAATATTCCATCAATATCATGGCGGGGGACACCAGAAATAGGCTTCACACATTGTACCCATGTGGGGAATCGAACCCGGGTCTTCGGCGTGATGAGCGAATACTTTAACCACTAGGCTACCCGACGCCCCTTAGAAACTAGTAAAGCGAATTTGAATTATAAGTTAGTATGCCTTATGATATGTTGTTTTTTTCTTTACAAATTCACTAAGTTGGTTGTCTCGAATCCTCGGACAACTTTTTTCGATCCCTACGAGTTCTACAGTGAGTGAGTATGATGTTCAGCAATATGACGGCGGGGACACCAGAAATTCGCGTCACACATTGTACCTATGTAGGGAATGGGAACACTTTAACCACCTGACTACTAGGGCTGGCACAGGTAACTCGGGTACTCAGATTGGGTGGGTACTGAGGAGGACCCGGGTACCCACAGGAATACCCGGACCCGTGATAAATCACGTGATATATTGTTTAATGACAAAACATATTTAGAACCCTATGGTTACATTCAATCTGGCGTTATATGTTTGAATAAAACTAAAACTTCAGTCAACTTCAGTTTATGCATGACCAGATCGTTTTATACGAGTATCTGAAACCATTTTCCCAGTGCTCCGGTCATTTGGACCTATCTCTTGAGACCTACAGCGGGTACCCGGGTAGGGTCTGTTCATAGGGGTGTGGGTACCCGTGTGGTAAGTTTTAGTGGAACAAAAAGGGGTTAAGAGTTATGAGTTAATATGATGTGGCTGTCAAGATGATATTTCGGCAATAAGGTTTAGCTGCATGGGAAACTGTTGGTTGACGGAAAGCAATTGAGAATACTTGTCATGGTCATGTTTAGGAGAGAACACTTGGTGATTTTAGTCATCTCAGTTATCGATACATAGTAAAGGTCCAAGGTGAAGGTCAGCTACCATCCATAACGCGTATGTCCCCCGTCGGAATCGATAGCTGTCTGACATCTCTTGCCCATGGAAGAGTCCAGTATGCCCGTGCTCTTCCATCCCCTCGATGGAGGGAGAAATCTTGATTCGTTGCTGAATCTCTCCATCGCAGTTGAGGCCATACCCTGTGTTGTCCACACCAATATTGTCGTTGTTGACGATGTTGTTCACTCATTATGACGCTCGTAGACCTGCTGCTCTTACGCGGGTTCGTACGGTCTGGTCGGAGATTCTTCGAGTCCGGGTCTTTTAAATGATGTTGACGTGGCTGTGGTCGTCCTTTCTCGTAGGTGGCGAAGTCGGATGAAGCGATCTTGGGCGGGGGTAGTTACTCTTGGTTGTCCCGACCTTGACCGATCACGGGTTGACCCATGCTGTAGAAACTGACCCCATAGCCTTGTGATGGTGCTGGGCGCTACAATGAAAACCCTGGCTATAGCTGATCTGGAATCCCCTGCCTGCAAGCGGCCTATGCCGTTGTTTCTTTGCACTTCTGTTAATCTTGGCATGTTGTGGAACTGTCACTGTTCGATTGAAGTAGATGCCAGGCAATCAAAAAACCTGCACTTTAGTACCGTTCTTAGTGTTGTTGACACTATAACACATTAAACTTTTCCTTGTGCACCTCTTGGTTCGCAAATTTTGCTTTTATGGCCAAACATATCCGTATTCCGTTTATTTTTTAAGAGTATACATGCATGATCTTTATACTGAAGGTACCAATATAAATTAAGCTTGATTGTGTTAATTATTAAATAAGCAGTCTGTGAAATTATTAATTTATTTACATATTTATTTATAAGAATTTACATCAACATGATTTCGCGTTCATTGATTTATAAACGTTCAAACGGGTGTGCATACTTTGAGTTTTAAGTTTACACCTACCTTGAAATGTTGTGCACACATAAACGGAAAACATGTTGAAGTCAATTCTTCAGTACCGTCATGTACTCGCTTCAATCTGGTGTGCCGACTAGATATATAGGGACAACTGCAAGTAATGGGATGTGGCACTTAAAGGAAACGCCCGGAGGTTGCGATAGAAATATATTCGAGCATCATTCTAGAACAGTGAATGTTGTCGCGTCTTTAACCGAGAACGTATTCTCCATGAACAGCATGGCGTTAGTAGAGATATAGAGTAAGTCAATTCTCACTGTTTCAAATTACGTTGAGTGAGTCATTATTACTTCTCAACTGTTAAATCCTAAAGGGTGTGATTAATGCTTTTCTACTGTTAAATCCTACAGGTGTCATAATTGTTTGTTTTTTTTACTGTTAAATCCTACGGGTGTAAAAAATGTTCCCTACTATTAAATCATCGGAAGAATTTCTGGCTTACGATACGAGAATAGATGGCAAGACCACACAATAGCGAAAAATAAAATCTTACCAAGATTTTGGAGATCACATGATAAAACATAGCTCAAAAGGTCTAGAATATGCAGATATTGATGTACGACTGTCGACTTCAGCAGATATGATTTGATTCAATTAATTTGTGATCTTTTTAAGGCTGCCATTGAGCAATTGAAAAAACGTATTACAATAATAAGCAATAATAAGTTCTCAATAATCACAGCTCCTCCCATGATTAGTTTTCTGCTGTTATATCTGGGGATGTTTCTTTTGCTATTGTTTAGAGAACAGTTTTCAAGACAACACAAATAGACCTGGTAAGATATGATCATGATTATAGACACTGCATCGTGAAACACAGCGAAAGCCTCGGGAATATTCCGACAGTTTCAGTGAAATAATTCGTAGACTGTGAAAGTATGGAAATGACTGAATGGCGTATTTTCATCATATACTCAGCTATGAGATGTGGATGAACTGTATATATGCGATTGAATTTCACTTGCATTGTCCCCTACTTCTTAATTTGCAGAAATCTAAACTAAAGGCACCAAGAAAAGGACTTCTCAAAATCTACCCAGTAATAGAAAAAAACAACAGCAAACAAGGCCATCTTCTAAGTGCCTAGACAGACAAGTTATATAAAGTGAGGTGGAAATATTACATCACAGCAACAAGAAGACGACAGTATCAACTATGGAGGGTAAAGTTTACACGGTACAGGAAATAATAGCTTACTTTGAAGGCAAAACTGATGAACGTTTTAATTGTGAAATTGAAGCTTTTGCTCGGGGAAATACAGAAAGCGCAAAACGTTTTAGAAATATGATGAAGGGAAGGAGGTCAGTTCATCCTGACAGTTGGAGCACAGCTGTTGCTGAGTCTGCCAGGGGTCATTCTAAAATGAAGAAGGAAAGGCCAAACGCGGAACCCGTCTCAGAAGGTCATATTTCTTCTGCTAATGTCGAGGAAGAACAAATTAAAGGCGTCAGCGAGGGAGACTATACCGTGGAGGAAGAGGGCAATATTCAAAACGTGACCAGCGTTGTCAAAGATGGACAACTTATCAACGACTCTTTGGGAGGTGATGTCGTCAATGTAGAGGACAACATGCAACACGTGACAAACGTTGTCAATGATGTGCACATCACAGGCGCCACAGGCGTGGATGAAGAGGGCAGCATGAAGCAGGTGACGGGGACTTCATCCAATGAAGATGTTGATTCTTCTGATGTTGGAGTGGAGCACGTTTCAGGCGTCACTGGGGGAGATGTTGACAACTCGACTGTAGTTGGCGTGGTAAAAGGCGGAATGCGCAACAAACAGACCGTGATTGATAGCGACATCTGTATCACAGGCGGCAGAGGCCAGCCTGACGGAGATGACACCGGTGCAGATGACAAACCGAAGGAAGTCACTGGAGTTGCAGGTGGTGCTGTCAAGGACTCTACTGTTGTTGGGGAAGTACACGGAGGCATGGAAAATGAACAAACCATCGAAAATTCTAAAATCTACTCTGATGGTGGCTTCGGCGGAAACCTTCAGTTCCTCGACCTGAACATCAGACAGAGAGAAGATTCTGGCGAACAGCAAGATGGCGCTGTGCAGATCATCAAAGACTGCATCATTGATCTCCGAAAACCAGATGACCAAACAGACAAAACTGAGGGTAAATATATATATACATATTCACGTTTTAAGTGTCTATGTCCTGACACATATCAAGAAGAGCATCATATACGTATATGTATGCACAGGTAGACACTTGACTTCCCTTTGCATGTGTTTATGATGTGTAACACTGATGTGACAGGACACGCTCATCTCCTCGCGAAGACCTGGAATCATCACTATTTTAAAGTGATTCAAAACACATGCATATTATTTAATAGGAATGGTAAACTTTGACCATGGACAGTTTTGATGTTTGTACATGTAGGTATATGCTTTATAGAAATCGTAAATGCTATTTATTGAATCCACAGAGGACAACTATGGTGATGCGGATTGTGACCAGGGCCAGGCTTCTGAGGAGCCAGGTAAAAATAGTAAACCTGATTAACAATGAATAATTCATACCAGCAATACATAAAACATAACCAGTACTTAAAGGTGAAGCGAGATAAACACGGACGAAAGAAGGTCATATTTATTACTTTTGAGAAGACTTCATATTACTTGCCTTCCACGGGTCCCTAACAGGTTTCACCCATCATACTAAACATAATATTGACTCAGTTTGCGCTCGACTTATTGTGTGCTACTAATTTCAGATGAAGATACCGATCAACAAGCAATGCAGAAAGAGGTATTCAGAAATAGTTCTTGTTGATTACTGGATTGAGAGGATTCCTGAAAACAATTTGCTGTAATTTCCTATCATGAGTGACAATTGAAATAGTGAGATGTAATTTTAGAACATTATGACTGACAGTAATAATAGTGTGATGTAATTAAACCACAATATGACTAACATAAAACCGTGAATTAATTCCCACTCTAAGGCAGGTCTGACATTGCTCACGGCAAGCTAAAGATGCTCCCACGTAAATGACCAAATGTGTATTCAATTATTTTATGGTTAGCATAATGACATACAGATACTAGGGTGTTCTTATTAATGAAGGCTTCATATATATCTGGTTAAAATATGGTAGAAAGGTTTACTATTGTCAGTAAATCTCGTTAAAACCATGTTGTCATGTATGCCTGAGGAGTACACAGTGAGACGTGCACAGGGTGCAACACAGTACACAACAACCTTTTTAGGACGTTTGCAGCACTAGATCAATACCTATTCATTTTTAAAAACTTATATCTAAATTTAGAAAAACTGAAATCGTCCTTAATGACAACATCACATAGAGCCTGTAACTCATTATAACCATTACATGGCAGATACGGGAAGTGAAGGAGTAATCAAGAGTAACACATAGTAGAACATCGTTAACACTGAGAACATTACATGGCAGATACAGGAAGTGAAGGAGTAATCAAGAGTAACACATAGTAGAACATCGTTAAAACTGAGAACATTACATGGCAGATACAGGAAGTGAAGGAGTAATCAAGAGTAACACATAGTAGAACATTCTTAACACTGAGAACATTACATGGCAGATACAGGAAGTGAAGGAGTAATCAAGAGTAACACATAGTAGAACATCGTTAACACTGAGAACATTACATGGCAGATACGGGAAGTGAAGGAGTAATCAAGAGTAACACATAGTAGAACATTCTTAACACTGAGAACATTACATGGCAGATACAGGAAGTGAAGGAGTAATCAAGAGTAACACATAGTAGAACATCGTTAACACTGAGAACATTACATGGCAGATACGGGAAGTGAAGGAGTAATCAAGAGTAACACATAGTAGAACATTCTTAACACTGAGAACATTACATGGCAGATACAGGAAGTGAAGGAGTAATCAAGAGTAACACATAGTAGAACATCGTTAACACTGAGAACATTACATGGCAGATACAGGAAGTGAAGGAGTAATCAAGAGTAACACATAGTAGAACATCGTTAACACTGAGAACATTACATGGCAGATACAGGAAGTGAAGGAGTAATCAAGAGTAACACATAGTAGAACATCGTTAACACTGAGAACATTACGTGGCAGATACAGGAAGTGAAGGAGTAATCAAGAGTAACACATAGTAGAACATCGTTAACACTGAGAACATTACATGGCAGATACAGGAAGTGAAGGAGTAATCAAGAGTAACACATAGTCGAACATTCTTAACACTGAGAACATTACGTGGCAGATACAGGAAGTGAAGGAGTAATCAAGAGTAACACAAAGTAGAACATTCTTAACACTGAGAACATTACATGGTAGATACAGGAAGTGAAGGAGTAATCAAGAGTAACACATAGTAGAACATCGTTAACACTGAGAACATTACATGGCAGATACAGGAAGTGAAGGAGTAATCAAGAGTAACACATAGTAGAACATCGTTAACACTGAGAACATTACATGGCAGATACAGGAAGTGAAGGAGTAATCAAGAGTAACACATAGTAGAACATCGTAAACACTGAGAACATTACATGGCAGATACAGGAAGTGAAGGAGTAATCAAGAGTAACACATAATATAACATCGTTAACACTGAGAACATTACATGGCAGATACAGGAAGTGAAGGAGTAATCAAGAGTAACACATAGTAGAACATCGTTAACACTGAGAACATTACATGGCAGATACAGGAAGTGAAGGAGTAATCAAGAGTAACACATAGTAGAACATCGTTAACACTGAGAACATTACATGGCAGATACAGGAAGTGAAGGAGTAATCAAGAGTAACACATAGTAGAACATCGTTAACACTGAGAACATTACATGGCAGATACAGGAAGTGAAGGAGTAATCAAGAGTAACACATAGTAGAACATTCTTAACACTGAGAACATTACATGGCAGATACAGGAAGTGAAGGAGTAATCAAGAGTTACACATAGTAGAACATTCTTAACACTGAGAACATTACATGGCAGATACAGGAAGTGAAGGAGTAATCAAGAGTAACACATAGTAGAACATCGTTAACACTGAGAACATTACATGGCAGATACAGGAAGTGAAGGAGTAATCAAGAGTAACACATAGTAGAACATCGTTAACACTGAGAACATTACATGGCAGATACAGGAAGTGAAGGAGTAATCAAGAGTAACACATAGTAGAACATCGTTAACACTGAGAACATTACATGGCAGATACAGGAAGTGAAGGAGTAATCAAGAGTAACACATAGTAGAACATCGTTAACACTGAGAACATTACATGGCAGATACAGGAAGTGAAGGAGTAATCAAGAGTAACACAAAGTAGAACATCGTTAACACTGAGAACATTACATGGCAGATACAGGAAGTGAAGGAGTAATCAAGAGTAACACATAGTAGAACATCGTTAACACTGAGAACATTACATGGCAGATACAGGAAGTGAAGGAGTAATCAAGAGTAACACATAGTAGAACATCGTTAACACTGAGAACATTACATGGCAGATACAGGAAGTGAAGGAGTAATCAAGAGTAACACAAAGTAGAACATCGTTAACACTGAGAACATTACATGGCAGATACAGGAAGTGAAGGAGTAATCAAGAGTAACACATAGTAGAACATTCTTAACACTGAGAACATTACATGGCAGATACGGGAAGTGAAGGAGTAATCAAGAGTAACACACAGTAGAACATTCTTAACACTGAGAACATTACATGGCAGATACAGGGAGTGAAGGAGTAATCAAGAGTAACACATAGTAGAACATCGTTAACACTGAGAACATTACATGGCAGATACAGGAAGTGAAGGAGTAATCAAGAGTAACACATAGTAGAACATCGTTAACACTGAGAACATTACATGGCAGATACAGGAAGTGAAGGAGTAATCAAGAGTAACACATAGTAGAACATCGTTAACACTGAGAACATTACATGGCAGATACAGGAAGTGAAGGAGTAATCAAGAGTAACACATAGTAGAACATTGTTAACACTGAGAACATTACATGGCAGATACAGGAAGTGAAGGAGCAATCAAGAGTAACACATAGTAGAACATTGTTAACACTGAGAACATTACATGGCAGATACAGGAAGTGAAGGAGCAATCAAGAGTAACACATAGTAGAACATCGTTAACACTGAGAACATTACATGGCAGATACAGGAAGTGAAGGAGCAGTCTGAGAGGGAGGAAGAAACACGACGACTCATGCAGGAAAAACAGGCAACCATGGAGGAACAACTGCAAAGTAAGCAGACAATAGAGTAGAGAAGTTACTTCATAAATGCATTAAACTTTTGACATATTATAAATATATTCGAGTATTAGTATTGCCAAAATAATTACCAAGAACAAAGTAGATGTAGAACGTCAACGGCAGAGAATAAACAGATTCGATTATCCATTCGAAACAGGTTACATTTGGCTAAAAAGGCAAAATGACACGCTCATTAATTTATACAGTAGCATATATACTGAACAACAAAAATTTCGTGTGACATTGAATAAGATTTAATGCAAAGTTATGTTTTTTACCAAATCTGAACCAATTTTGGTTTGCAACAGATAAAAGACTCATGTAAGTGTTCAAATGGTTTAATTTGCCATACTGACTTCAGAAAATGCGTGATTTTATAAAAAAAAACATGAACATGCCAAATTGTCAATTTACAAATCAATAGCGTGTGTGTCCACCTCTGGTTGGGATGCAAGCAACACATCTTCGTCTCATGGAATAGACAGGCGTCGCACAAGGTCCTGTGGGATATCTGCCCATATCTGCTGGAGCATGTTTCGAAGTTCCTGGAGTGTCTGCGGAACACGTGGTTGACGTTGAAGGCGCAGATCCATCTCATCCCACATTTGCTAGATTGGTGAGAGATCAGGGGAGCAAGCCGGCCAGGGGGTGACATTCACGTTGTTTTGTTGGATCCTGAATAAGTCGAGCAATTGTCGAGGCCGGGCGTTGTCGTGTTGAAAGGTAATGCCTTGGCCATGACGACGCAAAAACGGTAGAACAACAGGGCCGATGATTTCGTCGCGGTAGCGCTGTCCAATGACATTTCCCTCTAACACTATCAAACGGGTCGTCTGTCTTGCTGCAATCCCACCCCATACCATAACGCTGCCTCCCCCGAACCGATCCATGACACAATGATTGAAAGACGTTCACCTCGACGTCGGTACACTCGAATCCGCCCATCGCTGTGGCTGAGTTGAAAACGAGACTCGTCAGTGAATAGAACTTGTACCACTGCATGCCCGTCCAGCGTAGACGCTGTCTGCACCACTGTTTCCTGTCAAAATGGGACGTCTGGCGGGTCTTCTGGCGACAATCCCTGCACATCTGAGGCGACGACGTACGGTTTGCTTCTTGTAGTCACTGTTGCTGGCTGGAATCGTAGGTGTGTTGTTCGAATCCAGTTGTCTTGTCGATTATTGGTTAAGCGTGGCCTGCCACTCCGATGATGGTGTCTGCATTCGTCTGTTGCCAACGTTGCCATAAACACCAAATGGTGTTTCTGTGGGCGTTTAATTGTCTTACAACATCACATTGACTCCATCCTGCTTCAAGCATACCAATGGCTCGCAGACGCTCATTTTCGGACAGGCGTGGCATTTCGTAATGTTGAATAATTGCGTAATTTTGTTGCTTTTCTGAGTGGTTGTTGTCAGCACGATGCTAAACAATGTATAGGGAATCCCGTTAACGCACACGTTTTAATACCCATACTTAGGTAGTGAAATGCATGGGGCTTGCATAAAAGTCAACTTTTGCATGTAAACAACTAAACAAATCCTGCCAGCCGGTTCAGGTTTATTTGAAACCTGAATTCCATTACAAATTAGGATATATCAAGTTTAAATTCAATTTGTACTTATTTTCCACGTCAAAAACAGTTTATACTTATTTCCTAAGTAAAATACAATACAGATATATTTTCTATGATATATACAGTATGTATTTATATCCCAGGTTAAATACATTTTGTACTTATATCCCATGTTAAATACAATATCTACTTATATCCCATGTTAAATACAATATCTACTTATATCCCATGTTAAATACAATATCTACTTATATCCCATGTTAAATACAATATCTACTTATATCCCATGTTAAATACAATATCTACTTATATCCCATGTTAGATACAATATCTACTTATATCCCATGTTAAATACAATATATATTTGTTTCCCTTGTTAAATACAATATCTACTTATATCCCATGTTAAACACAATATCTACTTATATCCCATGTTAAATACAATATCTATTTATATCCCATGTTAGATACAATATCTACTTATATCCCATGTTAAATACAATATCTACTTATATCCCATGTTAGATACAATATCTACTTATATCCCATGTTAAATACAATATATATTTGTTTCCCATGTTAAATACAATATCTACTTATATCCCATGTTAAATACAATATCTTCTTATATCCCATGTTAAATACAATATCTATTTATATCCCATGTTAGATACAATATCTACTTATATCCCATGTTAAATACAATATATATTTGTTTCCCATGTTAAATACAATATCTACTTATATCCCATGTTAGATACAATATCTACTTATATCCCATGTTAAACACAATATCTACTTATATCCCATGTTAAATACAATATCTATTTATATCCCATGTTAGATACAATATCTACTTATATCCCATGTTAAATACAATATATATTTGTTTCCCATGTTAAATACAATATCTACTTATATCCCATGTTAAATACAATATCTTCTTATATCCCATGTTAAATACAATATCTATTTATATCCCATGTTAGATACAATATCTACTTATATCCCATGTTAAATACAATATATATTTGTTTCCCATGTTAGATACAATATATATTTGTTTCCTATGTTCAGTACAATATCTATTTATATCCCATGTTAGATACAATATCTACTTATATCCCATGTTAGATACAATATATATTTGTTTCCCATGTTAAATACAATATCTTCTTATATCCCATGTTAAATACAATATCTATTTATATCCCATGTTAGATACAATATCTACTTATATCCCATGTTAAATACAATATATATTTGTTTCCCATGTTAGATACAATATATATTTGTTTCCCATGTTAAATACAATATATATTTGTTTCCCATGTTAGATACAATATATATTTGTTTCCCATGTTAGATACAATATATATTTGTTTCCCATGTTAGATACAATATATATTTGTTTCCTATGTTCAGTACAATATCTATTTATATCCCATGTTAGATACAATATCTACTTATATCCCATGTTAAATACAATATATATTTGTTTCCCATGTTAGATACAATATATATTTGTTTCCCATGTTAAATACAATATATATTTGTTTCCCATGTTAGATACAATATATATTTGTTTCCCATGTTAGATACAATATCTACTTATATCCCATGTTAAATACAATATATATTTGTTTCCCATGTTAGATACAATATCTACTTATATCCCATGTTAAATACAATATATATTTGTTTCCCATGTTAGATACAATATATATTTGTTTCCCATGTTAAATACAATATATATTTGTTTCCCATGTTAGATACAATATATATTTGTTTCCCATGTTAGATACAATATCTACTTATATCCCATGTTAAATACAATATATATTTGTTTCCCATGTTAGATACAATATCTACTTATATCCCATGTTAAATACAATATATATTTATATCCCATGTTAGATACAATATCTACTTATATCCCATGTTAGATACAATATATATTTGTTTCCCATGTTAAATACAATATCTTCTTATATCCCATGTTAAATACAATATCTATTTATATCCCATGTTAGATACAATATCTACTTATATCCCATGTTAAATACAATATATATTTGTTTCCCATGTTAGATACAATATATATTTGTTTCCCATGTTAAATACAATATATATTTGTTTCCCATGTTAGATACAATATATATTTGTTTCCCATGTTAGATACAATATATATTTGTTTCCTATGTTCAGTACAATATCTACTTATATCCCATGTTAAATACAATATCTTCTTATATCCCATGTTAGATACAATATATATTTGTTTCCCATGTTAAATACAATATCTTCTTATATCCCATGTTAAATACAATATCTATTTATATCCCATGTTAGATACAATATCTACTTATATCCCATGTTAAATACAATATATATTTGTTTCCCATGTTAGATACAATATATATTTGTTTCCCATGTTAAATACAATATATATTTGTTTCCCATGTTAGATACAATATATATTTGTTTCCCATGTTAGATACAATATATATTTGTTTCCCATGTTAGATACAATATATATTTGTTTCCTATGTTCAGTACAATATCTACTTATATCCCATGTTAAACACAATATATATTTGTTTCCTATGTTCAGTACAATATCTACTTATATCCCATGTGAGATACAATATCTACTTATATCCCATGTTAGATACAATATATATTTGTTTCCTATGTTCAGTACAATATCTACCTTATTCCAATGTTTCTTAAAACATAAGTTGAATTACTATTTTCAGATGAGCAGCGAGAACGGAGATGGATGCAGAGTGAAGCAAGTAGTATAGGGAAATTTATTTGGAATCACTTATTGTTTAATTTCTGGTGAACATTTCATCAGAAATAGTAAACTCCATTCAGCCATGAATGATTCTGACAGTTTCTATATTATCTTTTAGATTGGTTGATATTGCTGGAATATTGCTAAAAGCGGCGTAAAACCATACTCACACACTCACTCACTCTTATATTGGTACAGTCAGCCTTCTAGAAACTGTTCCATCCCAAAGTTCCTAGGACGATCAAGCTTGTCATGTCTGTTAACTCTGAAACCCACTGAACAGTGCTTCAATCATTGACTAACACAACAACAACAATCATATTATGAATTCAAAATTTCATCTCCTATTTTTTGCTCTTATATTTAGAAAATTTGTGCTTATGATTCTACTAATGGACAAACCAATATATGGCTTGGGTCATTATGATTGTGCGCTAACATCAATTTATATATTTTGAAGTTATTTTTGAAAATATGCAAGGGCGTTTATTGATGAAGTTACAGGTTTGAAATACGGTGCTGAGGTATCATGACGTAAGAATGATACATGTTGTTCATACACTTTCAGATGCAGAGAATAAGCTATGAACAACAACAAAATGGTAAGCATGGTGGACAATTGAGAAATATATAACAAAATACATGTTTACATTATGACCACAACATCCATTAAGTCGACCAGCATGGGCCGCCGGGGAACTATTCGATAACGGAATCCCCACGTGGCCGCCACAACGGAATCCCCACATTGCAGCCACAACGGAATCCCCACGTGGCAGCCACAATGCAATCCCCACGTGTGGCCACAAAGGAATCCCCACGTGGCAGCCACAATGCAATCCCCACGTGGCAGCCACAAAGGAATCCCCACGTGGCAGCCACAATGCAATCCCCACGTGGCAGCCACAATGCAATCCCCACGTGGCAGCCACAACGGAATCCCCACGTGGCCGCCACAAAGTAATCCCCACGTGGCAGCCACAACGAAATCCCTACGTGGCCGCCACAAAGGAATCCCCACGTGGCCACCACAAAGGAATCCCCACGTGGCCGCCACAAAGGAATCCCCTTGGGTTCTTGCTTTCAACAAATGCTCGTGTTTCTATGACGCGTTAAGCAATAATTGTTAAAGTTGGGTTCCAAAGGACAAATGCTAATTCCTGATTCTTGTTTGTTACATTTTTATGTACCATCCAACATGGGTATGAACTTCCTTTTGCCTTGCGATTTAGAAGGTTTTAGGGATGCGGAAGATGCTTTTGACATCGACATGAAAACATACCACGTGTTTCATTGACTGTTCACCTTGCTGAAGAGAATATCATTTCTGTGAAATATTAACAAGCTACATAAATATAACAACCACTACACATAGCATGCTTTATCTGCTCAACTTGTATATGTTCCATCCACACAATTCAAATATACCACAAGATGTGTTTTATTCAAATGCCTCAGATCCTTCCATAACTGTGTATAACACCAAACACGCTGGAACACGTACATACATACACCCCTTAAACAGTCAATACAATATGGAGAGTAGCACATACTATGATTCCTCCTATATTCATTTTAAAGCTGCATACAGAGGATACCCACCTCCAGTAGCCAGATACCCACCTCCAGTAGCCACTCCTGCCATGCCTGCTGGTGGAGTAGTGATAACTACTGCTACACCGACTGCGTACGGTACCGTACCGACTACCTATCTCCCTCCAGTTGTCGGGTATCCACCTCCAGGTGTCTTCAATCCTCCCATGGCTGTTGGTGGATTGGTTGTAGCTCCAGCTAGACCTAACTCAGGCCGACCAAAAGGGACTGGTGAGCATTAAATGAATACATACCGAGTACGTGTTTTCAGGATATGATTGCTAAATAACACTACAAACACTGTTCGATTAAAATCGACAAAATAATTTCCATATTCATAAGACAATCTCTGCTAAAAGCATATTTGATTTGTTCCATTTCGACCATATCATAAGCAAGTGTTTATGACTCGCTATCAAATAATAAATGGAGATATAAATAGCATGTACGGTTTCCATGATGTGTGGATCTACAGGAAAACTCAACAAAACTAGTTCATGATCAAAAGCAGAGTCCAGTGAAAGATTCCGATTAAATAATAAAAAAGTGTTTATGAACGACAATAAAATAGTGATGATTCCATGTGTTTGCGAAATCATGAGCGTATCCTGCCCCAACGGCGGCACCCATCACATACAACGAAATAAATTGTCCACCTAAAATAACCAGGGCAACATGTGGTACACGTCCAAGAGGGACTTTCATCAGACATCATTTTTGTCACTGATGCGTCAAATTTGGAAATGTCCTCTTCACCACTCTGTCTCTCATTACACTTTTGGAAAATTTTACTGATGCCTTGAATGATGTAACATTGATCAAAACAACTTTGGAACAAGAGTCGAATAACGCTTTTTGAAACCTTCGTTGAAAGAACAAGCTCGATTGTACCTTAAAGCTGAAGACACCCAAGCTAAAGCTGTTGTGATGTTGATCCACAGAAAACGGAAGTAAACTATTGGCAAGTTGAAGCCATTCCTCCATCCTATTTTGTGGAGATGTTTTTGTTTTATGTAGGGTGACCACATTTAGTAGCAAATGCCCCACGGACAAAGGAAGGAAGTTGTCCATTATGTTTGTTCTGTGGGATAGTGAGTGGTGTACAAAGATAGAAATTCGAATGTTTCGACAGAATAAAACTTGGTTCTTTTGTGAGATTGCAAAAAATAAAACAAATCGTTTACGTTTTGAGAGAATTATCATGGTATTAATTTCATTTGTCTCAAATACGTTATGTGGCTATAGAGAAGTGCTTTATTGATGTACACGAGATGTTTAATGGTTACTGCATGCTTGTGCGTGCCAGTCATTTCCATAACTTATAATATCTTCTCTTTGTTCACATGTGTTCTAAATTACACACTACCTACACTGTGACTTAGACAGCTTTATCCGTATAGAGGGGTCGAGTTGCCAGTGTGAAGTTGAGTGTCTGCACACCATGACTTTGCTTGACTATTTCACTGTCTTGACTATATTTTGCAATATATCTGCACCTCGTTTTTTTCTTTAAGGTCTTCTAAAGAACATAAAGCACTTCATCAAGGGAGGAAAACAATAGCAAGATGTGACCACGGATTCCATGATGAGGCACAGACATTTTTTCAAATGAGAAGGCATTTCCTATAGGTCGGAATTATAACGTGTAACATTTGTTCCGATGTTGAATCAGAAAACATGTTTTGGAATATTTTGAGAAATATTAAATAGTTTGGATAACAGATAGGTTTTAACAGAAATGCAATTGTACAAGTGTGACATACAATTTAAGGTAATTGGTAAATTGATTCATTAACAAGGCAAAGTTTGAAATGTAGGTAAGGCTCAGGGTGGCTCAGTCATCTGAGGCGCTGCGAATTGCTGTGCACAGTTGCATCCTTTGGGAACGCCAGAGATCTATTGGGTTTCACCGAAGTAATAAACATCTGAAACCTGTATCTTACTGGGCTTTCCTCCCACATCAAGCTGACACGCTGTGATATACCTGGAATACTGCTTAAAGTGGCGTTAAACTCAACTCACTGACTCTCTAAATGTAAATAATTTAAGATATTATACCAGGAAATGTTTTAGAATAATTGTTGCAAGGATCTGTCACACTGTTCTGGTTGCAGACATATTGCCAAATGTTTCGTGAGTTAAATAGATGGCGTGCAGTGCTAAAAATAGCCCATGCACAGAATCCAGTCAGTTTAGGAGCATGGACCAGTACTCAAACATATTAGTTTCCGAAACTTATGTCAACTAGTGTATCATACCTCAGTTCATTTATAAATAAAACACCCTTGACTCATTCACCACCAAAGCTGTCTGACGTGAAATAACTATTATTTACATTAAGGCATAAATGGTACACAATCATTTCAACAACATATACATGCACATATCAAAATAGAATAAACACAAAACATCTTTGTCCAGCATGCATGCTTATATACACACATTCACTGAGGTAACAGTGCAACTAAATACGAAATCAAAGCAACCCAGAACTTTTTGGAGAATTTGAAGACTCACCAATACTGCATCCTTCTGCATTACCCAAATTGTCAAAAGGGCTGTATTCCTGGTAGAAAACCCGGGTTCTCCCCCAATGTCAGTCAACAGATTGGTAGGTACCAAACCTAAGGCACCAAGTACAATGCGGAGTCAGACAACTTGGTACTTGGGGTGTAAGCGTGACATTTCGAACGCGAGGTCCGCATACTTGCCAAGTTTTTCCTCAATCTTGTCAATCACATTAGTTTCAAATAGGACAGATGAATTCAATGATATAAAGGATTTCATTGGAATTGTCAAAAGGAAAAGATCAAGTTTGTTGGTAGTATACGGGCCTATTCCAAAGAATTTTGTATGTATCATTTTCCATGACGACAACTACATATTCCGGGTCATAACATGGATGAATATCCGTGTCAAAACCACAAGCATTGCAGAGCAATAATAAAATGATCGAGCCACTCCATCATGCCACTTTAGATACTGATTTTTTTGCCAAAGCAGAACACCCACTGACAATGTGTTGGACAGTCTCATTAAATTCCTTGCTTATTATTATACTTTGTATTATATGTTGCATATTAATACATTTATTTCGTTTGTCCAAGATTGAATTGAATAAAATATCATGCATTAATTTTTATCGTTGGTATTATCTCCAAACTGATCTCTGTGTAATCAGATGTACTTGCTAATGGAACCGAAGGCCAGGAGGCAAAGGAACAGCGAATTTGACCCGAATATGAGTCTCAGAACTCACCTTATGAATCTTGAGGTGAAGGTGTACTGTTCACTGTGTCACTTTTTTTTAAGTCGCATTAATGTATATCAATTGTTCCACGCTCCTGATGGTAGTGTTTTCCTTAAGAACCTCTTCACCACGAATCTTCACATAAACACAATACAGTTCCAGTGCGATACCATTAGCGCTGGTTGTTGAAATACAAGACTAATACACATGACAAGATACAAGGACCTTGCCCCAGGCTATCATAATGAGGAAATTAAATGCATTTCTGAAGCTGGAAACAGAAGCTTACTCCAGGACAAATGTGACCAGGAAAGGATATTCCACGAGCTCCTGCTGCAACTAGATATTCGGCTCTCAAGGGACCAATGATAATTTTCCTGTTTATTTCCTCCGTGGTGGAAGAGGGAGAATCCTCACTGTATCTCGGACGGCCGTGAACGGAAGTGCAGGATCAGAGGATCGTAGCTTTTAACTATCAAATAGTATGTCCAGGGACAATATGCATATGCAGTGTGACCTACGGCTGATATTATTTTGTCACATAAGTATTCAAATAAGAAAAAAAAATAAGCATGTACATAAAGGCCTTGGTGTACACAACCGTGTGTACCACATTTCACTCTACTGAGGTATACATGTGACCCACTATTGATATCATGGTATTGTCATCTCTTGTCTGACATTCTTATTCAAACAAGATAACCATACCTTGCATAACATTTTAACATATCTGTAGAAAAAGGCAATTTTCAGTATCAAACACAACCCAGTAAGTTTCCAATGCCCAACAAGCAACTTTCAGAAAAAATACCATTTTGGCATATGATTTTAATATCAATCCCAGAAAACACTACTGACCCTTAACTTCTGTTGAGTTGTTAGGTGCAGATACAACATATACGATCCATTTCGAATTGACTGCCTATAACTTCCTCTTCAATCTTGCCGTCCAGAAATACATACATCTATCTAAATTTAGGAACAACACACTTTCACTTAAATTATTCTAAAGGTGAAACTTTTGAGATATTCATTTTTTTCACGAAATATATCATACAAAACAATAACTAAATGAATACGTTTTAAAAGAAATGGGAACAAATAAGAAACATACAGAAGAATGTTTTTTTTATCTGAGAAAGTGTCGTAAAATTAAAAATGCATTCGGAAAGTCATGCTTGGTGTTTCATTTTCCTAATAGAAATAAGCTCTCATAAAATATTTTCACTGTATATTTACATAATTCTGACCGCTAAAATGAAATAAAAACACTGGACACTTTGTTTTCGTTTGGTGCATGGGTATATAGAGGTTATCACGCGAGTGTGTTTGGGGATGGTAAATATCCTGCTTTAGGAATAAACATTGTATTTAGCGAGCCTTGGCGTGATAACCTCTTTATCATATAATATCATTCATTAATTCTGTACTTCAGAATCGCTTTCCCTCTCTCACAAACATTACCGAAACACTGGGAGTTCTCCTGGAATGCGCGCAGAGGGTAAGTGATGTGTCTGTCGGACAGTGACAGTAGCCAATATAGTTCCAACTGAAAGCTATTTCTTTTACAGTGGCGAAGCCACATAAACGCAAAACAACAATTGTTTGTCAAAGGGAAGCTAGTCTAACCCTGGTCTATGAGACGTCACGGCCACGGTGAGACGTTGTCCAACTATTTTAATTTGTGGAGAAGGTTTCAAGCCGCAGAGGTCTACAAGCACAGATATGGCTACTGATCCCGCTTGTCTAGGCCTCGTTCCCTCGCAAAATTGTTTCGAAATTGATATATCTCCAAAGTTGCCCAAACTTATAAAATGCCTTATCTACGTCACAGTTAGACACTGATTTTCAGTATATTAGACTGTTCTTTTGATAATGATAGCAATTATCCCTGTAGTTTATCCATATTTCCGATGGTTAATTCTGACTCGATCGCCGAATGACGAGGGCTACGCCATGTTTGTTTATAAACAGTGAAAGTAGTCCCTACTTGACCTTTGATATTTGCAATACCATGACGTCACAATCAAATGACATCACTAATGGCTCTGCTACTGAAGCTGTAAACATAAAACTTTTTACACTGAAGTCACTGTTAATTACTCGTTGATAAAATTGGGAAAAAATCCTCGGCAAGCCTCGGAGTTTTCCCACTTTTATCAACTCGTGTTGATATATTGGATATCAAAAGGCACTCGGGCGAGATCCTTTATATAGAGAATATAGGAACAGATCATTTAAAAGTGTCAGAGCGAAAAACATATGTGTCTGATCTTAACAATATGTCTGAAATCCGAAAAGTTTATTTCAGCATAAATTGCTGAAATAAACTTTTCGGACTTCAGACAATCCGACTTTAATCCAATATGCCTCTTCCTTCACAATGTGTTCTTTATAGTGATATGTCATATATTAAATATGTGCTTGTCTCTGTGTTGGTATTTGTCGTAATGTCTGTACGTATCTAATGGCAATTACTGTTGCATGTACACTTATCACTGAAGACGGAATGTCGTCAGGTCCAACAGAAAATCTCCACGGTCAGTTCCGTGGGATTTTACATGCGCTTCATTGGGTACAACACATAAACTACTATTCAGCATCTGGCCAATATTGAATTGATCAACAGATGATAGTTATTATTCTGAATCAGATTGACCAGTTTTGTGCAGAGTAACAGCAACGTTACAAAAAAATATTGATGCTTTGTTTGACAAAGAAGTATAACAAGGTTATAGGGGGCACGGGTGGCCCAGTCGTCTAAGCCGCCGCAATTCGCTGTGCAGAGTAGCGTCCCTTGGGCACCCCAGACAGCGTGGGTTAGAATCCCGGTTTGCTCCGATTATGTTTCTAGGTTTGTCAGCACCATAACCGTGCTCGTGGATTTCACCGAAGTGGCAAACGTCTGAGTCTGCATCACTTCGGGCTTTCCTCCCACATTAAGCTGACACTACTATTGTCCGCATACTACTCCTTGTCTCCACTTGAACCTCAGCGATGAAGGCTCCTTCCTCAGTTTTGGACCACTCATCTCCCGAGGAAGCATGCGTTGTGAGGTGCTGTCGGTTTAAACCAGCACAAGGTTGTGGCCATTTTTAATTTCTTGCAAAACAATTGGGCTCAATTAATACATGGTGTCCTTAAACACTGCTGATGCGACGTTCCCTTAAAAATCGCCTATACCAATTGACATGGTCAACTCTTCCATTGTTGCAGGACGCATTGACGGCATTTCGCAGGATGGTCAGCGTGACACTTCTCTCCAGGCGAGAGTGGGGCTGCTTAGTTTACAAGTTCACCTGCTTGAGGAACAAACAACGGTAGAGCCGTAAATGACCTGCCTTCGCTCCTACTCAGTCGGACCTACAAGAGGTCATTGGTCATTTTTGTGGTTGTAGATGTTGTTGTCAAGGTCCCCGTTTTGGCATATCCAGGGGCTGTGACGTTGCTGTCTCGGAACCAGTAAGAAGTGGTGAATCTCCCAGATTGGTAGATATTATCTCCAAGTTCATTGTATCTTCTTTGGAACGAATGGAATGTTCTGTTCCCAGCCTTTCCTGTTTTCATATGACATGTATAGGCAGAAAATTGGGTCTATTCCTAAAGAATTTGGCCATCCTGGACGATCTGTTTGTACTATGTTTTCTGCGAAATGGCGATCATCTACCCCTGATGGTGATTGTTCCTGCAACGACAGACCTCCTCAACGCCGTATCCTGGCGAGCAGCTTCTGCTTCTCACGGATGCTACAGGTATGTTACTTGCAAAGAATGCCACAGCGTGTCTGAGCACAGCTACGACGACACTGGTTTTCATGTCTCTGATTTACAATGATCCGAAGAAAAGAGAGGCTCCAATTTCGGCTCATTTTTAACATGAAAATTGTCTAGACGTTATCCCTAGAGATACCTCCAACACTTCTTGATGAATTTATTCGCGTTGATAACTTCTACATAAAATCAGTAACGTTAGAACATTGCTTTCGCCTTTCGAAAGAGAGCTAGAGAATATAGATGTTTTGTGAAGGACTTTTAAATCCTCCCCTGCCAAATCCTTAAGTTGGTGGTAGACGGAGATGGCAATCTGGTTTGTAAACAACTTGTCATGAATATATACTGTTATTTGTACTTGTTTCAAAGAGAAAAAAGCTAAATTGTTCCCATTCTGGTCAACATGGAACATGCCCATAACACTTTTCATAAACATTTCGTTTGTATGCAAAAAGATATGTCTTTGTTACATTTTTTAATGTCTTCATCGAAGCAGTCAGGGTTGTGGCATAGAACCCCAAAACATTATATATCAAACTACCGTATCTCCCCTCTTAATTTCGCGAGAGCCGTTTACTCGGCGTGTATTAGAGACCTGGCTTGTATTAGAAAGCAAGCGTCTAATAGAGGAAATGTAGATGCGTTTTACAGTTAATATGATGATCGATCGGCAGCCATTATTTCATGAATCGATATGTAGGCTATCTGTGTATTCATACGCACGTTTTCTGTGTGAACTGGCTTAGTACATTTGAAACTTCTTTTTTACTAATCAGAATCAAGCATTTGTCAATGTCATGGTAGAATGACATGTTAAGAGCACTTAACTGTAAAAAGCACACACATGCACACGCACACACACACATCTGAAAACGTATCCTGGTTTGCTGAAAAAAATATGTTTGTATTATTTCCAAAAATATACTTCATCGTAAATATAGCATAAACATGCATACCAAAACCTTTACAATATACATATGTATTGACATATGAGTTGATAAACATGATACAGAATACAATATATATCATCATGGCCATGAGAAGTGTATGATGTCTCATACATATCCTTAGCACTTTATATACACACATCTGTTGCGGAATTGGT